GGCGTGTGCAGGGGGCTGCCGTTGCTCCGCGTGACGGGAGATTGCCGTGTCCCGGCGCACCGCACGGTATGTTTGGGATCCGGGGGGTGGGGGTTTTAATCCGTGAGAAACCTGAGAGCAATGGATGATTCATCATCGCCATCAGCATTCTCACAGCAGCAACAGTCGTGGTTTTATTCACTGCTGGATGAAGACGTCCGCCCAACATTGTCGCCCCCCCCCCCACCCCCCCAAGATTACGGTCCGTCTCGCTCCCGCGCATGAGCCGATCTCGTTTGCTCTGGGCCTCCACGAGGTCGACTCAGCCTTAAGTCAGTCCCTGGTGCGGTGTGTAACACAGCAGCACTGGGGAGACAAAGGCAGCCCGGGGCGCGGTCCTGACCGCATCCCACTCCCCCATGCGCTTCATTCTCGCTACTCGCTAACTGCACCTGCCCCAACAGTCTGTTAAAGGCTACACAGGATGGGGGGGCCTTTGCCTTTGTCTTTGCTTATAATAGGTGCTCGCTACCTGCACTCACCTCCCAGCAGTGCTGAGTAATGTAGGCCGCACGGGGAGGAACCTTCGTGCCACAGGCGCCTTTCAATTCCCACCGTGGTGAACGAACGCCACTAGAAACGAACGCGGGGGGGGGGGGGCGGGATTGGGATTTGTCACCGCCACCGCGTGTGGAGCAGGGACTTGTGAAATCGATTCGTGGCGATTGGCAAGCGTTCACGAACAAAAAAAAATTCCTTGTCCCTAATCCTACCGCCACCCTCCCCCCCCCTCCCTCCCCCAAATTGTGCACAGAATTGAAATCGCTGCCTTGGTCCGTGCTTGCAAGCCTCGGGCTGGCGTGGCGTTGGCGTTGAATCGCTAATTCAACCGGGGCGTCGCTTGACCGCCCGGGGAGAGGACAAGCGGCGTTACAGCGCAGGACACGTTGAGGGCAAAGGTCAATTCTCGAGTGTGAAAAGAAAAAAGGTCAAATTTTGGTGCGGAAATGCATGCGGAGCGGTCGGGCTTACGCGGAACCCCGCGGGGCCCGTTGTTTGATTATATTTACAGGCCACGGCCAACATCGGTTGCGAATTGTCTGAATCGGCCCTCCTTAAATGAGTACAGCACCCTGGTGTGGGGGGGGGGGGTGTGTATGGATCATAATTGGGGAGAGAAAGGCGGCCGGGAGTGGTGTTGGCCCCACCACTCCATGCACCGCCACCAGGCCTATCATAGTGCTAACATCGCGTACCTGGTGCGGTGTGTAAACATCGCCACTGGGGAGACAAAGGCGGCCGGGCGTGTTGCTGGCCAACCCACCCCCTCGTGCCTTCATAGGTGACAGCAGTTGCCCCAATGGCCTGTGGAGGCTACCTGGGAGATCTCTGTCTTTGTGCGTGCGTGCGCTAGTGGTAGTGTAGCGGTTATCCCACTGCACTCTGAAGTCTGAACCCAGCGACCCAAGTTCAATTGCAGCTCACGGCCAATACCGGCGCCTATTATCTGAACCACGAGTGTAAAATCGGTGTGACTGTCATTAGTGGTCTCGTGAAGCACAAGAGAAGAGATGATTTCCACCCACGATGTGCCGTGATTGAGGGCCATTGCCCGAAACGTCGCCTATCATATCTATTTATTTCCCCCTTTTTCGACCACGGTATTTAATGAAAAATGAGTTGAAATTGAGTTTTTGTTATTTGTGCACCACCACAAACACAGCGCAGCATTGCAAACAGTGCAGCATCGTCACCGAGCTTGCTTAGATATGTAGATCAACACATTTTATTTCGGCACACAATACGAGTCGTGCGAAAAAGATCTGAAATTGGCTTTGTAAACATACGGCATTCCAAAATTCTAATACAGTGCATGCAAGAATAGCCAAAATGTACAAAGCGTACTGACGCTTAAACGTGAATAGGGCAGGGCTCATCGCTGAGGTTCTTGTGGCGCTGTGCAGATTCCACATTCCTATGGCAGGGAGCCAGTCCCTACATTGTAACAGCCACTGTCGACCGTACGCGGAGCGGCACTATTTTCACGAGGGGGGGGGGGGGTCTCGATGGGCCGAGTCACAGCCTTCTCACTCTCCGAGTCACTGCGAGGCCAACAACAACAACCGCCATTCACCACTAAGTGGCGGTGACGTCACCACGACGCTTGTGCCAGGCCAAGTGCACCTTGAGGCCACGTGAAGTGTCGAACGCCCGCTGGCAGGAGGTCACGGGGCAGACCCAGTTGCCACGGGTCGACTGACCGAGATGACCGAGATGACTGGCTGATGCACCACCTGTGCCCCCTACTGTACCAATTTGCTGTGCTTTAGCCACCCGGCGGTTCGCTCTTTGTTGTGAGCGTCGCTCCTCCGCCCTCCGTTGTTGTTGGAGGGCGACTGCGAGGCCAACACCGCAGGTACCACCACCACCGCCGCCGCGGTCCGGCTCTCCTCCTCCGCGTTCTTCGGGGCGGTGCCGTTCGTTGAGATGTCCGACGTTTCGCCCCCCCCCCCCCCGCGCGCCCTGGGGGGGGGGAGCTTCTTCCGGAACCAAAGACGTCCAAACATCGTGCGGACCAGCACGCGGGCGGAGGGCGAGAACGAGCGCCGCGCGACCATTGTTGAATTTTGCCTGAGTTTCCGTTCAACCGTTTCCTGGGCTTGCATTTTGATTTCCGAGCGCGCCTGTTTCGTCGGCCAGCGTTAATGCGACCGTTTTGCTTTCCTAGAATTCACTCGAACATCCCCGATGTGGCCCGCCCGGTCACAACGATGTCGCCGCCACGAACACGAAGAGAGAAAAATAACAAACAAACGGATGCCGTCAGTCGCCACCTTTTGATATCGCCTTTGTTGAGACTCCCCGCAATCTTCCCCGGTAGGCGGAACCTACGTGGGAATTTATTTGGCCGCACCGAACCAAACCCTCCATGGCCGGCGCGGTGAAGTATGGTCAAACAAAACGCCACGACCGACACACGACATCCCCTCTCTTCTCTGCCACTCGAGTTCTCCAGCCCAGAAACAAAAACAATGCACGCTTTGTTGCAATGCCGTGCTTTATGCAGAGCCTCCAAGTTGTGTTTACGCTATGCTGCCATGCAATTGCTCAAGGGGGAGCGGAGAGCGGGGTGCGGGTAATTTGTTTTTGCCGGACCAGCGTTTAAACCACGGGCGATCGCGAACGAACACGGGATTTGCACCACCACCACCGCCACCATCACCAGATACAAACGACAAAGATCCCCTGTATAGCCTCTACAGACTTTAAGGGGAAAGTGCTGTGAGCGAGCACCTGTGAAGGCCGGCACGGCACACGAGGAGGGCGGGTGGCCAGCACCGCGCCCGGCCACCTGGGCCTCCCTCCTGGTGATGTTTTACACGCACCACCAGGCGTAGTACTCATTTGAGGCCGAGTCGACCTACAGGAGGTCCATGACCGTTCAGATCATCATCACTGGTATTGGCCGTGAACTCGGGCCACTAACACTCCCACTCCGCACCACCGCCGCCAGCGATCGGCTCCGAACGAGCACAAATACCCACGGTCTCCAGCGGTTTCCCGTCTGACCGGTTCCACGCGCCTCCTGTTGGCGCGTGCGGCACGCCCTCGCCGCAAGCGGCGCCGCAACCAGCACCGCAACCGTGGCTGTCATTCTAACCGGGTCGGTCCTGGTCGGCGTGTGCCCGGCACACCACATCCAGTATACGTCTCACGACACTCTGTGGCTACTTGAGTCACGCCGTGGTGGCTAGGAGATGTTAACTTCCTCGCCTGGTATGCAGGAGGTCGTGGGTTCGATCCCGACCCTCTGACGCCTGTTGTATATTTGGAGTTTGCGTCCGGTTTTTTCCTCCACATTTAGAATCGGCGCGTGTTTATAGTATTGACTGCTATAAATTTCGACGTGATAAGCCACGTCGCTGAAAAAGAGCTACACAGCTTACCTGGTTACATTAAAACAGTTAAGTTAGTTAAGTTATAGTTAGTCAAACCTTCTGAATAGTACCAGTGAGCTTTAAAAAAAATTACACCTGGCAAACCACATCCAGCATCCGCTTGGCACATGTCAAACTACTCCGGTGGGTGTGGAAAAATATCCGCCGAGAAACAAACAATACCCCAAGGGGACAGAACTACCGCTGCCGGTAACTCGATGGCCAGGAAATGGGAACCACGCGAGCCCCAGGTGGCGCTCCAGGTGGAGCCCCAGGTGGAGCTCCAGGTGGCGCTCCAGGTGGAGCTCCAGGTGGAGCTCCAGGTGGCGCTCCAGGCGGAGCCCCAGATGGAGCTCCAGGTGGAGCCCCAGGTGGCGCTCCGGGCGGAGCTCCGGGTGGAGCTCCGGGCGGAGCTCCAGGCGGGGCTCCGGGTGGCGCTCCGGGTGGAGCTCCGGGTGGAGCCCCAGGTGGAGCCCCGGGTGGAGCTCCAGGCGGAGCTCGAGAGCTCGGTGTGGGGCACGAGACGATCGATCGGTTTCAGGGCAGCGGCCGATCGTTACGCGTCAAGCGTCGCGTGAAACCGCGCGGCGATCAAGCCGCCTCCGTCTCAACTCGTGTCAATAATTGGCACTCATTGTTATAAACGGAGTGAACCTACGGCAACACAAGGGGCCGATGCTGTAGAACCCACACGGACAGGTTCTTGAACCCACTTGCTCAGACCGCCATCTTGCGGGTTTGGGGGGCGCCTCGCAACACGCACTTCCCCATCCTGCACGTGATTCACCAACCCCCACCCCACCGCGCGAGTCGGTGGTCCCCGGCGTTTTTGGTCCCCGCCCCACCGGCGGTCTGTGAGGCCGTGGGAAATGGGGAACCCGAGGAACCGTTGCAGATTCTGCTTTTGAAAAATATCCGCCACCGCCACGCGGTCGACCCGCGGGAAAATTGCTGAGCGTTGACAGTGTGGGGGGGGGGGGGGGTGTAACCGCTGTGCCGAGCGTGCAGACGCTCAACGTGCTCGCGCGGCTCTGGAGCAGGAGTCTAAGCGGTACCCGCTGACCCCCCCCCCGGCGCGTGCAGGGCGATCGAGGGAGCGAGCGGGCGGGCGCCATGACAGACGCCGTGTTCGGCAGCAGCGTCGCTGACCGCTGGGTCTGCCCCAACGACCGCCACCTGGCCCTGCGCGCCAAGTGAGTGCTCGCCGGGACACGGCCACGGTCGCTGCAGCTGCACCGCTCGCACCACCACCACTCCCACCACTCCCACCACTCCCACCACTCAAACCACCACCAACATCACCACCACTCCCACCACTCCCACCACTCAAACCACCACCAACATCACCACTCACGCCACCACCGCTCACGCCACCGACGCTCGCACCACCACCACCACTCGAACCACCACCACCAACACCACCACCACTCTCACCACTCAAACCACCAACACCACCACTCACGCCACCACCGCTCACGCCACCACCACTCCCACCACTCACGCCACCACCACTCCCACCACCAACACCACCAACGCTCGCACCACCACCACTCTCACCACTCAAACCACCACCTACATCACCACCCATTCACACCACCACAACCACTCCCACCACTCAAACCACCACCCATTCACACCACCCATTCACACCACCCATTCACACCACCACCACTCCCACCACTCAAACCAACATCACCACCACTCGCACCACCATTCACACCACCACTACCACTCAAGCCACCACCGCTTGCACCACCACCACCACCACCACCACTCCCACCACTCAAACCAACATCACCACCCATTCACACCGCCACCACTCACACCACCAACACTCACACCACCACCACCACCACCACTCCCACCACTCAAACCAACATCACCACCCATTCACACCGCCACCACTCACACCACCAACACTCACACCACCACCACCACGGGCGGCCGAAACAAAACAAAAAACCCGGATGGGAACCCAGGCTCTGTGCGTCACCGGCACGGTGCTCTCTTGGGCTCTCTTATGCGCGTCGTGGTCGATTCCTTTTCATGTTTGTATTTCTGGACTTCTGTCCGTGCCATGTCCCACCTCTCAAAGGCGCGGGTGCGGGGAGAGACTGCTGTGAGTTCACTCGGCGACCTTTAACTCAAAATTGTTGCGATATTTCGGTAAAGGGTGGCAGGCTCGAGCGAGAAAAGTCGTTTTGACGTCGCTCGCCCTCTCACCGTCTCGCTCGCTCCCGCGCCTGCACGCTCCCTCTCCCGCTCACTCTTTCCCCCTCTCGCTCCCTCGCCCGTTCGCCGTCATTGTGAGCCCTCAACCCATCTAGGCCACATTGTCCGTAATTTATTTTTTTCCAAAATTATGTTTCTTATCGCTGGAAGTTTTCATTTGGAGCCCTGCATCTAGGGTCCGAAACAGCCCCCAGAAGTTGAGGTTACAGAGCTGGTTTTGAGGTCGAGCCATCGGATCTGTTGATCCACACTTAGGGGCACATATTTTAACGTGACATGCAAAACGAAGGTCACGGTATGTGAATAAAGCTGGCGGTTTCTCTTGTCGGAGTTGGACTCGAGCCAAATTAAAAACGAAACCAAGTTGAGTGGATTTTTTTTTTTTTCTTCCGCATGCAGTCATCGGTGCCCAGGCTGAGACCAACAACTCGCCACACTCGAGATGCCTCGCGTCTCACTTCGAGGCCTCTCACTTACCCCCCCTCCCCGCCTCGAGGTGTCGCCAGAGGTCGCAACCGGGTGCCCGATACCCGTACCCTACCCGATACCCGGCTACCCGTACCCGGCCAGGTACAGGTATCCGTTTGCGACCCTGGTGCGGCCGGGTACGGGTACGGGTAGGCCGTGAGTCACTGGTGAGTAACCGTTTGTCACTCATTTCGGGTAGGGTACGGGTAGGTAGTTTGCGACCCTGGAGCGGCCGGGTACGGGTAAGGAATCAAAACCCGTTTGCGACCTCTGGGTGTCGCACGCGCCAACGCACGCGTACCACCCCAGGTGCACGCGTACCCCCACGGCGTGAGCCGCTGCCCACGTGTCGCGTGCGTGTCGCGTGCCGTGGCGCAGGCTCAACACGGGCTGGTCGGTGCACACGCACCGCTCGGAGAAGCAGCGCAGGAGCGAGACGCTGAGCGAGGAGGAGCGCGAGGCCATCCACAAGGTCATCGAGAAAGCCGAGAAGATGGAGCTGCTGGAGCAGGAGCGCATCGGGTGAGCGAGCGAAGAAGAAGAAGTAGAAGAAGAAGCGTGGGAGCGGAGCGCCTCCGTCGCGGATGTTGGAGGTCCCTCGCCGAAACGTCACGGCTCGCGTCGACCGGTGTCCAGATCGTCGCGAGCACTCCGCCACTTGTCCGCGTGTGGTCACCTCCACTTGCAACCCCCCTCTTCCCCGTGACCTCCCACCCCCCCGCTGTGGAAACAGACGACGCTCCTCCTCCTCCTCACCCTCCCTTCCTGCCTCCCTTCTCATCATCCTCATCACCCTCTCCATCCCTGATGAAACATCTTGGCGCTGCCATTCCTTCTTCCGCTCCTCCTCTCCCCCTGCTGCTGCTGCTGCTCATCTTGCGCCGTGCCCTCCTCTTCTTTGTCCGTCTTGGGGCGGGGTGGGTGGGGGGGGGTAGCGACTTCCGCCCCGACCGCCCCCTGTCCCTTTCCCGTTACTTTCTCGTTGCCCTGTTCACGATCGCAGCCTTGACTCCACTCGCTCTCGGGCATGTCGCGTCGCCCCGGGCACAACCGCTTGCGTATCGACTATGTCACCGCATGTTGGGCAAGTCTCGCCTGGAGGGGGGGACCCCCTAGTGACACGCAGGCGGTGCGCGTAGCACTGGTCTGAAGATGCACGACGCTCAACAGAGACTGTGTGTGTAACCCCCACCCGCTTTGTCTGCACGTGATCTACGTGAATGTCGAACGGAAGGAAGCTCCTGGCCTCTCGTCGTGGACTCGCGGATTTCAAGTCGCTGGCGCGCACGGCCCCCTTTGCAATTCGCGATTGGGATGCTTGCCGCCGCCGTCGTGCGTCACGGCAAGGGCACGCGCGAGATTGCCGGTTCGGCAACCGCGGCTTTACCGCGTCGGTAGAGGCACTCGTTGGACGCTGGCGCGTCTCGTCTCCGCGATTCCCCGAGTTCGTTCCAAAAAACTTCTCCTGCGCGGTATCCATGCCGCAGCCTGCGCGCCGGCCCCACTTGGTTGCGAGCACCGCCAGCCCACCCCACTGACCCCGGTCGACGCCACCCCCCCCCTCTCCCCACCGTCCCATGACCCTCGCCACTGACCCTGGCCTGTGCCCCACCCCCACCCCACCCCCCCCTCCCCTCCGTGACACTGCAGGCGGCTGGTGGAGCGGCTGGAGAACATGAGACGGAACGCGCTGGGCGATGGCGCCGCGCGCTGCGTGCTGTGCGGGGAGCAGCTGGGCCTGCTCGGCTCGGCCGCCGCCCTCTGTGAGGACTGCAAGAAGGTGAGGGGGGAGGGGGGGGAGGGGGGGGGTCGGGGTGAGTTGGGGGAGGTGGAGGTGGGGAGGCTGGCTGCCAAAATGGCGACAAACATCAAAAGGATGTGCTCAGGCTGAGCGTGATGGTGGAAGTCAGTCGTGGCGTCCAGTGTCTGTGGGGGGCGGGAGGGGGGCGGCGGAGGGAGAGGGAGCCACGGCGAGACGGAGTCATGAGCTCACAAAGCTGGCGTCCACGCAGACACAGACACGGACACCACACACACAGCCACCACCACGGGCACACACGGCTACCAGACAGACACGGCAGCCACAGACACGGCAGACACAGACACGGCCACCACAGACACGGCAGCCACAGACACTGCTGGTAAGAGGCAATTGCCGCATTTGTGAACAGTGGGGAGCAATGGCGCAGTAGTTGGCGCGTTGCGCAACGAACCTGCTGACCCAAGTTGGACTCCCCGCTAGGTCGTCTCGGCCTTAAACGAGTACCTGCTCGCGGTTTGTGATCATCGGCACCGGGGTGACAAAGGCGGCTGGGCGTGGTGTCGGCCCACCAACTCCCGTCGCGTTTCAGTGCCGACCTTCATAGGTGGTCGTGCTGCTCGCCAAACAGCACTTGCCCCGACAGTCCGCGAAGGCTATACGGGGGACGTTTGTCTCTGTGTGTGCCGCCCCCCCCCCCCCCCCCCCCCCGTCTCTCTCCCGTCAGAACGTGTGCACCAAGTGTGGCGTCGACTCCGTGTGCAGCCGCCAGCGTCCGCTCTGGCTGTGCAAGATCTGCAGCGAGCAACGAGAGGTGAAGTGTTCGATCGGGACGGGGCACAAATATTGATGATGACGCTGATAATGACGTCCCCTGGCCGGTGCCCCTCCAGCCAGCCCCCCCCCACCCTCTCTAGCAAGCCCCACCCTCTCGGAATCTCTGTGGTGCTCGATAGGTCTCTGTGTTGCTCTATTTATCTTTCTGGATATGCACATGATGCCGTGGGTCCTCTACCTAGCTCAGTAGATCTCCACGTAACTCTATGGATCTCCATGTAACTGTACAGGTCCTCTGCGTAACTCAATAGATCTGTACAGGAATTTGTGGATCTCTGCGTAACTCTGTGGATCTCCACGTAACTCAATAGATCTGTACATGAATGTGTGGATCTCTACGTAACTCTGTGGATCTCCATGTAACTCTGTGGATCTCTACGTAACTCAATAGATCTGTACATGAATGTGTGGATCTCTACGTAACTCTGTGGATCTCCACGTGACTCAATAGATCTGTACATGAATGTGTGGATCTCTACGTAACTCTGTGGATCTCCACGTAACTCAATAGATCTGTACATGAATGTGTGGATCTCTACGTAACTCTGTGGATCTCCACGTAACTCAATAGATCTGTACATGAATGTGTGGATCTCTACGTAACTCTGTGGATCTCCACATAACTCAATAGATCTGTACATGAATGTGTGGATCTCTACGTAACTCTGTGGATCTCTACATAACTCAATAGATCTGTAAATGAATGTGTGGATCTCCACATAACTCAATAGATCTGTACATGAATGTGTGGATCTGTACGTAACTCTGTGGATCTCCATGTAACTCTGTGGATCTCTACATAACTCAATAGATTTGTACATGAATGTGTGGATCTCTACGTAACTCTGTGGATCTCTACGTAACTCAATAGATTTGTACATGAATGTGTGGATCTCTACGTAACTCTGTGAATCTCTACGTAACTCAATAGATCTGTACATGAATGTGTGGATCTCTACGTAACTCTGTGGATCTCCACGTAACTCAATAGATCTGTACATAAATGTGTGGATCTCTACGGAACTCTGTGGATTTACACGTAACTCTACATGTCCTCTGCATAACTCTAAGGACCTCTATGTAACTCAATAGATCTGTACATAACTCTGTGGATCTCCACGTAACTCTGTGTAACGCGTGGTGTTCTGTAACTGCCGCCATTGGGCTGTGGTGGTCCCTGTAACAAGATCTGCTTCGGCTCTATGGGGGCCCTCACCTGCTGAGATAATAAAGTCCGCGTCTGAGCCGTTGTATAAATCCAAATTGTATAGAACAATTGCTTTTACCCTTTCTGGCAATAGAACAGGTGTTAAGATGTTAAAACAACAAACAAAAACCTCGTGCAAGGAATTATGTCTGCATTAACCACACATGCTTGTGTTGAACATGCAAACAAAAAACATGCTCTGGTTGTTTATGCATTGTCGTTTCACCTTTTGGCATTCTCTGGTCTTACTACTGTTTGAGACGAGGCTCTTGAGAAAGCTGTCTCTGGTGTGGACCAATCAGTTTGAAACACAATGCATCATATACTACCAGAGCGCGTTTTTTTGTTTGCATGTTCACCGCAAGTACGTGTGGTTAATGCGGACGTGATTTCTTGCAGGAGATTTCTGTTTGTCGTTTTAACATCTTGACACAACTGTAAAACCAATTCTTATATTTTTATACCGGCAAGGGAGATCCCACGAAATCCAAATTTCACCGTCGCATCATCCCCCGGCGTCCGCCACCACGATGGCCGGCTCCGTCCGGTGTTCACCGCCTCCTCCTCCTGCCCCTCTCGCCCCGCGCCCGTCTCTCCGCTAGGTGTGGAAGCGCTCCGGAGCGTGGTTCTTCAAGGGGCTGCCCAAGTACGTGCTGCCCCCCAAGACGTCCGGGGCGGGGGGCCGGCACGACTCGCGGCCCGTCGCGGCCACGGTCCTCGGCAGGAACCCGCAAGGGGCGGCGGCGGCGAGGGACCAGGCGGCCTCCGCGCCCGACACGTGCACCTACACCTGGGTGCGCGGTCGCGGTGAGTGATTTGGGGGCGGGGGGCGGGAGGGGGCCGCGGAGAGTTTCGCGTCGTGAGCGCGTGGCTGCCGCACACGTCATTCCGCACCCACCGTTTTTATACTTTATTTATTTTTATTATTGACTTGCTCACCTTTCCTATACTTTGCCCTCCTATCGGTGTCGTTTGTTGTTTGTTGTTTTTCTAACTTTCTGACCCGCCCCCTTACTGGACATCTGTGAACAAGCTCTGTAGCTCGTTGGTTAGCGAGTGAGCGAACGTGTGAGTGCGCGAGCGAACGTATTGCGCGCCGTCCCGTCGGGTCGCCTAACGAGTGACACTCCTCCCCCCCCCTCCCCCCTCCGTCCACCTTTGGACGTCGCGCCGCAGTGAGGATGGGCGAGAGCGACTCCGACTCGGAGCGCAACTCCAGCTCGGACGAAGACGACGCGGGGACCCGGAGGGCGCGGCACGCGGCGGGCGTCGCGCGGGCCGACTCCGGTGAGGGCCGCGGTTCCGCCGCGCGGCGCTAGCGGCCGCCCCAGCGGCAGCGGTAACGATGGCAAAGTTAAACCGGCCACCGTCTTCGGCAACAGCTGCGAAGGCGACATCGTCACCGTCATCGTCGTCGTCGTGGGCCGCAGCGACAGACGCGATCGGATCACAGTCGACGGCCAATCTTCCGAACGCAAGAGCCTCCTTGTAACAAATGAGTCTTGAGATTCACGTCGGGCATTGTTCATCTTGTTGTCCTTCGCCCGCACCTCCGATTAGCGCGGTTGGCTACGTTTGGTGCGAAAGAAGTTCAACATCTTTGTCGGTTGGTCCCAAGCCATCGTTGGAAATTCCATGGCTCTGTGGCAGGGGCCTGCTGTGGTTGGTAGAGATGACAACTGTTGACGGGTAACTCCAAGCATTCTATCTACCCACAAAAATGTGACCGACGGAGTTAACCCCTACCGGGGTCGATCGAATGAGGTCTAGGGAGAGCCAGTGCCGGCAGTGTTTGCGATGATTTTTGTTGTTGTTGTGCAGTCATTGGTGACCCCGCGCTGAGATGAATCGGCTCACTCCGCTTGAGAACCCGGTTCAATCACACGCAGCAGCAGCTGCTGAAACCCGCATACGAACCCCGGGGATCTCAGCGGTTACCGGCTCCGCACCTCCCCTCCGCCCGACCCAAAACACTTCCCATTTTAGCGCGGTCGGATACGTACGCTGCGAAAGACGTCCGGCATACATACGTACATTAACCGCTTGAACCGTGACCCTTGACTCCAAACTCTTGACCTTTGGTGCCCAGCGAGCAGCGACGGAGCCGGCGCGTGGCCGGCAGGGTCGGCGGGCGGCAAGCTGAAGGGCGCGCAGGGCGCGCTGGGCAGCCGGGGCAGCGTGGGCAGCGGGGGCGGAGGTGCCGGCGGCGGGTTTGGGGGAGCGACGAGCGCCACCGAGAGCTGCCAGGGCGACGCTGCCGGCGACGGCGACAGCGACGCGAGCCGGGGTTAGTGGGCGTGCGGGCAGCGGCAGCGGCAGCCCCGCATCTCTCGCGCACGCACGCACACACGCACCCACGCATCCACGCACGACGTGAGAATGGCTGCCGCGGTACGGCGATACCACGGCATATCGGCTGGCTACGTACGGTGCGAAAGAAGTTCGGCGTACATACATGTCGTATGAAATATACATGTCAAAGCCCACGATACTCGCACAATCCGGTTTGTAGAATATCGTTGTGTCGCCGCTCACTAAGTACGATCGTAACCGTTGCAGATAATGGGTTATGACGTCGCTGTAGGACAACCGCAGGGTTTACGTGGAACGTTTGTGCTGCTGCTGCTGCAGAGCCCGTCCGTGCAACGTTACCTCCCGGGGGGTGTAACAATCCCCCCCCCCCACCACCTTGCCCTCCCCACCCTCCACAGTGATTCGGTACGAACTGTTGCCACCAAATTAACGTGGAACGTTGCCTCAACAATCTTGGCCCAACAGCCCCAACGGTTGCAACCCCACGCTCACTGGGTATTCATGTAACATAGCGGGTGCATGAATGTAGCACGGCCTCAGCAGAGGCTGCGTGGGTCGCGTTTGACATCGATACGAAATCCAAATCCAAAACTCGTCGATTCTCGCGTTACACGGGCATGCGATCAGATGCTCGAGAATCGATGCTTTTCCCTTCCACATTTAGAATCGGCGTGCGCTTAGAGTATTTGGCTTGCGACAAATATCCACGTGGTATAAGCCACTTCGTTGAGCTGTCATTTGTGACGGCCAGGTCGCTTCTGACAAAGAGCTACGTAGCTCGGTTGGGCCTTACCTGCTAAGATTTAGATATCACTTGATCCCTCGGGGCGTCGTTACACTGTCACACATGCCACCGTAGTGGCCGTCCATAAATTACGTCACGTACCTGGGGGGGGGGTTGTCAGACATTTGTGACGATGTGTGACGAGGGGGGGGGTTTTAGAAATGTGACGTCACGTAAAAATGCGCAGCTTTAAATAAATAAAGACAACACGTTCTACTTCATTAAATAGACTTTTAATGTTTTCTCCTACAACATCAGAGTGCAGCGCCACATTAAATACACACTACAATGACAATAGTTTAACGCGATTTGAAGCATGTTTTATTTTTTTTTGGGGGGGGGCAGAGCTTTGTGACGTCATATTTGAGGGGGGGTCTGACTTTTTGTGACGCCGTGTGACGAAGTGGGGGGGGGGGGGGGGGAGGTCAAAAATCGTCCAAATTCGCGTGACGTCATTTATGGACGGCCCCTTATCACTTTAGCCAAATCCAACCGAGGCAAGGCAGGTCAATGTTTCTTGGAACGGTGGCTTCGTAAGCAAAAAAAAAATTAACGAACGCTCTTAACTGTGTAGTAACGTTTCACTGTAAAGCGCCAAAGAGTGTCTTTATAAATTGTTCCGTCATCTGCCTCAGCCAAAGTGCGAATCGAGCGGTTCCGACTTTGGTCTTCGTAGTAGAAATAGTAAAGCGCGCAGTGTGTTTACAGCGGCAGGTGCTGCGTTATTTTACAGTCGTTTCGTTTTAAAAAGTTTTAAACCATAGCGATCCTCATGTGCCGTTTCGACAGCGGTGGTGTTTTCACCCACGCGGATTTCAGTGGCCAGACTTGCCGCAAAAGCCAAAAAAAAAAACAAATGGAACAGAAAGGGAACGCGCGCGCTGTAGCTCGCCCTCCGACGTGCGTTTTATGTCGGGCCCATCGCCGCGTGTCGTTCAGCGCGACGTCCGACGTTTCGCTCCGGCCCACAATGCACGTCGGAGGGGCTCGCTGCAGCGCAACCGCGTGAACCTCACACACGGGTTTAGCAGCACGCACGGGCCTAGCTAGAGAATAGAATGCCCGCCCCGTAGGTTTTGAAGCCGAGTGGCGTTTCATCGTCCATCATGATCGGCCATTAGCTCTGTCCACTGCTGGATGAAGGCCTTCCCCAAGTCGTGGCCATCCATCACAGTCCCGCGATGCATCTAGCTCCGTAAACAAAGATGGCGGCGCGGGTCTGGTGACGGCGCGTCGAGTTAGTTTTTGTTTTCGTTTGAGCAAAGTGTTTGTTTGGTACTTTGGTGGTTTTTCTTTTTTCTTTTTCGCTCGAGTTTCCAAAAGCTGTCTATGCACAGAAAGAACACTCCTCCTCGGGCTCGATCCACCTCTTCTCGCAGGGACGTCTACCGTAACACCGCCCTGCACGCAACGTCTCTCTCTCTCTGCTCGCGTTGATGATTTCGTCGTTGTGTGTTTTAATTTGCGCGCGCCGCAAATGCGCTGCTGAGCGGGGGGGGGGGGGAACCCTGGCTCCTGAAATGATTTCTTTGGCCAAAAATAACAACGGGAGAGGGTTGTTCGTGCGTTCTGAATTTGAGATAGCTCACGGTAAAGCCATGCTCCTCCCAGCCACATTGGATTCCACGGTGATTCTTCATAATTCACCCGTTGGCCATCCGCTTCGCCTGCCTTACCTCTCAGAGGCGCGGGGGCCTACGGACAAATCACCCGGCCTGTGACCAATCTCATCAGAAGCTGGAAAGCTGAGCGGGGCTGAGGCCTCGATCTAGCGCTCCAATGGGTGGGCCGAGTCCATGCATAAAAAAGCATGCGTCAAAAGGCTGCTGTGCTCCTTGCCCTCACCAACCCAGCTCGAACCGCCACGGTGAAGTATGATTAAGTAACCACCCACCCCCTCCCCCCACGAGCCGCCAAGGCGTGGGAAGATTTCGTGTTCAGAAGCGGATTGAATTACAAGGGGGGCTGTGTGCACGACGTGCACACAGCCCCCCTGCTCCAAGCAAAAAACCCCGACGTATCTAGGACCGATTGGCGCTCTCCGTGGGGGGTTATGGAGTTGTTGTTTTTTACCAGGACATCCCCTCCCACCCCTACCCCCGGCGCGTCTTCTCTGCGCGCGCAAACGCTGGCTGCTGCACGGCCTTGCCTTCTTCATTCTCACTGCCTTAATAACAACGCCAACAACAATAATAGTCCTAATCCTTGATGATGCCATTGATAGACTGGTTGGAAAATTGCCGTCTCTCGCCTGCCCTTGTTTGCTATCGCGTTGATTTCGCACGAGCGCGCTCTCTCCGTGTGCCACTGCCGCTGCCAATGTGAATCGCGAGCCGTCGCCACGCTCCTAACACGGTGAGGGCTTCACAAACTCGAGTCCTCATGGCCCAGCCACCACGCTACATCTTTCCGCATTTACCAACTTACTCCCCGCACGCTCCCCCCCCCCCCCCCCGCACTCAAATGAACTCGTCTCACGCTGCCACGGTGCCCGATGATTGTTCAAACGCGTCCCAATGTGGTGCGCGCTAACCAATTAACGCTGCGTTGGGTGCGCACGCAGACACACATGGACACGTGTTTAGATGATTATGCATCCATGTTGGGCTTGTTTTGCACTCTACGTAGCCAACCGTGCTAATCGGAGGTGCGGGGGGAGGACAACAAGCTAAACACAAAAGGCTGTTCTAAATCAAATTAGTTTTTTAGTCTGGATTTTTTTTAAAGTGCATATAGCTCCCGTGGCTTCCTGATATCGGAAGGAAGAGCGTTCCAGACTGCCGCAGAAGCGACAGACTGCACGCGGAGATCTCAAATCTTAATTGGCATTGGCTCTGTGGACGCGGAGAGAGCGTTTAAGTTGCTCGCCGTGTCACGTGGGACGAGCTTAACAATGATCGGGCGCGTGCGGCAGCGTGGAACGGGTTTAAGCGGCGCAGTATTTGAATGTGCGAGGAGTAATTGGGATAACGCGGAAAAGACGCAGCGCGGCGGCGGCTGTGGGCCCGCGAGGACTGGAGTTTGAGAAACCCTGCGAGTCTAACCGCTTGCCCCGCCGTCGATTTGTGTCGACGAAGAGATTTATTTTTTAAATGTAGCGACGAGAATCGCTTCAACGATGGCCACGAGCGGACCGCCGCCACTGACCGCGACGACGAGACGGGTCGCGACCGAAGACGCAGGCCGAGAAAATTTTTCACGCGATAACACGACAACTTGACACTCGTCAACAACAACACTTCGATTTAAAGCTTTCGTGACTGCAGGGATTCATCTTCTTGGTTCTTTCGGTAAAGTCACGTAGAAGGGAAGTAATAAAATAATAAAAATAAAACATAATAAAATAATTCTCACGACGTTTCGGCCACAACGCAAGCAGCCGTCCTCAGGTGAAGACTAGGTCTGTCGGGGAGACAGACGCTGTCTCCCCGACCGAAACGTCGTGAGAATTATTTTATTATGTTTTATTTTTATTATTTTATTACTTCCCTTCTACGTGACTTTACCGAAAGAACCAATAAAAAAAAACAACACTGTGCGTGCGTGTTTGTGGTGGGGGGGGGCCTTCTAAGAAAATCGCCGACGTTTCGGGTAACAAGTCTTCGTAAAACATTGAGGGCCAAGCGCTGCCAGGAAAGTACACGACCACAATTTGATTCGAAAGGTAGCGCCCACTGAGATTATTAACCATTTTTCAAAGGCGAGCTGGCCAAACGCGTGATGATGGCTCATCGAAGTGGCATTATATCGTCAAATGTCGGTCATTTATAGTCGCAGCCAAGTTATCTAAATGCATGTTTCGAAACGGCGATTTTTATACAAATATATCATTTGTTTCGTTAAAGGCCACAATGTTGTTATGGACGGACGTGCTTTTATTATAATTATCAACTGTGCTTTGTGCACCACTGCCAACGCAGCAAAGAGCACGCAGCATCGTCATCGCCATCGCCAAATGATTTAATTATCGAGATGATTCCGTTGTGGCGAGGAAGACCAAAAATAGCCATCGACTATTCCTGTAGATAAACATTTACCGAGTTTCACCGATTTGTCCGAGCTGATAATATTGGATGGGTGTAGGAATTGCTGCCTCAGGCGTTCTTCGTTTTAAAGGCCCCCCAGGCCACAGTCGGCCTCTGGTGGCCTTTTATTAAACCCCCAAATGGTTCCAAATCTTGTGGCGGTCCTCAAACTGATGATGTCTTATAGGCGAAAGTGCCCCCCACCACCACCACCACCACCTAAGATAATTATTAGTGAAGAAAACGTGCTCGGTTCGCGACCGCACTCTCGATAGAGAACGACAACAGCAGCAGTACCGCGCGCGAAAAATACCACCGACAGAAACACAACAGCCGGGTAACTGTCTGAGCCGCCGCTCGCTGCTGAACGTCTGTGAGAAAAATAAAAAATAAAGAGGTTCACGGCTCATCGGATTTCTCCAGAATAAATATTCAGATTTTGACCTGAAGATTCAAATTGAAAGAATGAACGCCGCGTCTCTGTGCTTTCTCTCTCTCTCTCTCTGTGTGTCACTAACGGCCCTTGCGTTTGCTCTCTGGCTGGCTCCTCTCTTTGGTGGCTTGTGTTCGGTTCATGCCTTTCCAATAAAAACTTCTGCCCCCACTCGGTAATCCCCGCATGCGTCTTCTGGATTTGTGTGCGCGCCTCACTTTCGCTTGTGTCTCGCTACGCGGTTGCCTTCATGGGTTGCGAAGGGGACGGGCGGGCGGGCGGTGAGCAGCGCTCCAGATAATCTGCGCAATCTCTGGGATTTATTGGGCGCCGTGGTGGCTACAGATGTTAACTACCTCGCCTGGTATACAGGAGGATCGTTCGGTGTCGATCCCGACCCCCGACGCCTGCTGTATATTTGGAGTTTGGATGTTCTCCCCGGGGTCGTGTGGATTTTTTCTCTGGGCTCCTCCAGTTTTTCTCTCCACATTGCTATAAAGTTCCACACGATGATGAGCCAACTTCGTTGAGCTATCATTTGTGGCCAGATCGCTTCTGAAAGTGAAGCTAATAGCTCTGTGCGCTTTACCTGGAAACATAAAAAAAATTTCGTTTTATTCGTATCGTTTGTTCAAAGTCATTTGTTTACCTTTTGCTATACTTTGCACTCCTATCGTGTTTTTGTACTGTTTGTTGTTGTAACGTCCTGACCCCGTGCCCCTACTGGACATCTCCGATTGGCAAGATTGGTTGCGTACGGCGCGAAAGAAGTCCAACACACACGCACGCGTACGTGCAAACGAGCTTTATAGCTCATCGGATTCCCTCGGCAGCAGGTTTAAGACTTCACTCCAGTTATAATTATAAAGCAAGGCCGTAGCCATGGAGTAAACATTGGGGGGAACCAAAAATCTTCCAGGGGGTCCCAACCCAGAAAAATATCTAAATTTGAAAACTAATTTCCTGCCATTTCCTGCCTAAAAAAAAAAAAAAAATCACTAACACATGGGATGTACTTTTTATTTAATTTTTGACAATAATGTCTAATAGTGTATTCTATTACATTGCTCTGTTTTAACTTTTTTACCATTTCTTGTTTCATTGTATGTTCATGGCAGATATTAGGGATTAATAAAGTCCAACCATAATCATATAAACAGAAATTGATGCATTGATTTATATGAAGACAAGTCCAGATATTGTGGCCAAGATTTAGCAAATTGTTGTTTTTATTTACATAGCATAGCAATTATTATTACTTTTTTATATTTTTATAGCATTATATTGGGGGGGACATTTTGAGCATATTTGAATATTGGGGGCGGGGGGAATGTGCCCCCCCCCCCCCAATATATATTATAATTATGGCCTTGTTATAAAGCATCAAAGTTCCCCGTGTAGTCTCAACAGACTGTTGGGGTGGGTGCTGTTCACGATTAGTACCTGTGAAGGCCCACACGGCACACGAGGGGGTGGGTGGCCTTCGTCTCCGCAGTGGCGATGTTTACACACCGCACCAGGTACTCATTTGAGGCCGAGTTGACCTAGGAGAGGCTCAGGACCGTTTCAAACAATCGTCACTGGCGTTGGCCGTGAGCGGGTTCGTAGCGCAGCGTAGCGCTAACAGCCGCACTACATACTCACCGTGAGAGCGGTCAGGTGCGGACTGCACAACTCCCCTTAGATTCTGGCAGAAGGACGGAAGCGATGCCAAGAAAATAAACTGAGAAACGGGAGCAAAGGGGTTCAGGAGAGGTGAGGATGGAGCGGAAGAGGTGGCTACATCAGGACCCTGCTGCTGCTGCACGGAGGAGCGGCGTCTGTTTTCACAGCGGGCGGCCGTGAGAGGGGAGTGATTCGGGGTGGGGGTAGCCCACACACACAGGTCATGTGGTTTAGGGGAGGCTTGCGCGCTGATATGGATGCAGAGATGGTCTCACGAGACTACGATGGAGACTTACGGTCCCCGTACCGAAGCGGACGAAGTCTCGTTAGTTCAAACCAGGGCATCCCGGTGCTTCGGCGTTTGCGCGACGGTGTGGTGGCGACAGCCGACATGACGTGGCTCGCGCTGTGGGGTGCGGGGGGGGCGGTGGTTTGCAGAGGGGTCGCTGCGCTCGCGTCTCTCCCTCGCCCCCTCTGACACCTCGTCGTCACTGGCCACCTCGTCGCACGCCGACGACGACGTCGACCGCGCCTTCTCCGCCTTCGCCGCCACCACCGCCGCGACACCGTCGCAGCAGCAGCAGCAGGCCGACCCAAACGACTCGGACGATGCCAGTGAGTCTCAGGCCTTCCCGATCGTCCGGCCTCCCTCCTTTCCGTTCCTCTCTCTCTCTCTCTCGGTTTTCCTCTCTGTTACAATCTGTGTTCCCCTCCCAGTACTCCTCTCCCGCTGTCCTTACATCTGTCTGCTTCCCGCTCTTCCCCCCCTCTTCCTTCTCTCATCTCAGTGTCCCCGATCTGTGTTCAAATCTCCCTCCGTCTCCCTCCCTGTGTCCCCCTGTCTCTCCTCTCCGCCCTCTGTGTTTCTGCCTCTGTTCTCTCCTGTTCTCATCTCTCTATTCCCCCCCGCCCCCTCCCCGTTCCCCCCTCTCGCCGCCGTTCCCCCGACCCCCGCAGCACCACCGCCCCCGCTGCCCGGTCTACCGATCCGTCGTCTCCGTGTGAGCGGAGGGGTTTGGTGAGCGAGGGAACTGTGGCCGTGGGGGGGGGGGGGGGGGGCCTGCGGGAAGTCGGGAGGTTTTGTGACGCTGGCGGCGCGTCGCGGTTCCGCCGCTGAACGTTCCGCTCCGCTCTCTCCGCAGCGACGCTCGGCTGCCTCGAGTTCAGTCTCCTCTACGACCAGACCGGCAACATGCTGCACTGCACGCTGCTCCGTGCCAGGGTAGGTGCACCTCCGCGGCCCCCACCCCCCTCCATCGGCGTTCCTTGTCTGCTCGCGGTGCACGTGGCTATCGAGTGAGTGGTGAAGGCGGTGCAACTGCACCGCAGCCTCTGGGCTACATTGACGGGGGTGGGGAGCGAGGGGGCAATTAATTCCTTGAACCAGTAGTCCATGAGTCCTAAATCAGATATTTAACTTATCAGCACCACTTGGGGTGGCATAGCGTGGATGGTTCCAAATTCTCTGTGCGGCCAGCAACAGCAAATCGTGCGTTAACCATTTCAGTTGGGGTAATTGAATCGTTAACTCGTACGAGTCATATCAATAAACCAGGTACGTACTGCGTAAGTTGCGCTACACAAGTTGGTACCAAATTCGGCCTATAGACTTACAGGGGCGCCACAGTGACGAGATGTTAACTACTTTGCCCGGTATACAGGAGGTTGTGGGTTTGACCCCGACGCCTGCTGTATATTTTGAGTTTACATGCTCTTTCTCCCTGGGGTCGTGTGGATTTTTCTCCAGTTCCTCCGGGTTTTTTCCTCCACATTTAGAATCAGCATCACCACCCGTTTAGAGTATTTAGCCACTATAAATGTCCACGTGACGATAAGCCACTTCGTTGAGCTATCATTTGTGGCCCGGTTGCTTCTGAAAAAGAGCTTAACTTAACCCTCCCCCACGGCCCATCCTGACTCCTCCCCCCCCCCCCTTAACCTGTATATAGTCTCGTGTCTCTTAGAGTTCTCGCCACTTGATCCAGTAATTTTGCTGTGACGGTGCCACCTGAAGACGGAAGCTTGTGTCGCCTCCGAAACGTCGTGATTTAATTTATTTCTATTTAATTTTTTACCTACGTGACTTTACTAAGAAAAAATAGTTTAGTTTACAGGGCCCATGACACCCGCACTGCGCCACTGGCTCTGCCTCTACACACTGGGCGACCGCCGTTTAGAAACGGGCTAAATGACTCGGAAGCATTTGAGTACAAAATTGCCGCGTTTTCATTCCTACGATACGTCCAAGAGCTTGTCCCTGCACAGCCCTGCTCGTGCACACGCAACGTTGCTCCAACCGTTGTAACCACACGCCAACGTCGGCCCAACGTTTTGAACGTTCACCGAGCTTTTGTCAATCCCACTGCTGGATGAGGGCCCTCCCCATGCCGCGGTGGGTCGTGAGGGGTCAATTTGCCCGTCCTTCGTTCGTCACGGGGTGACGATCAGCGCGGGTGGCAAAAGGCGCGGGGAGCATAGAAGGGCAGTACAACAATGGATTTTGCTGCATGACCCTCGGCTCTCAACAACAAAGTTGCCCCCCCCCCTCCCACCGCAGGGTCTAAAGAGGAGCCACTCAGGGGGGCACGCGGACCCCTACGTCAAGCTGCACCTCATGCCCGGAGCCAGCAAGGTGAGCCGGAGCCCCCCCCGCCGGAGCCCCCCCCGCCGGAGCCCCCCCCCGCCGGAGCCCCCCCCCGCCGGAGCCCCCACCCCCCCACCAGTTCCCCCACCCCCCCCCCACCACCACCACCACGGCGCTGCTGCTCCTAATACTGATTAGCACGTAGTAGACTTTCGCGACCAATATTATCCGTAACAAAGGTTTTTTTGTTTGTTTTGGGTTAGATCGCGTCAATATAAATGTGTCGTTGAACCCGCCACCACCCAATTGGTAAAGGGTTTATATCGCGTGAACAAAACGTGCCGATTGGTTACTATTCCGGCGCGCACCCGGTGCGTTGGAGAGTAAACCCACAACATTCACAGTCCGAGTGCGGCATTTCGCTGGTGATGACAACGACCCGCTTCATCGGGCGTATTCGCCAGAATTGTGAAGAAGGCTTCCTGTTTCTGTCTTTAGCCTGTATTTGAGTATTCAAGACCGAAACACTCGTGCAGTATTTGTTCCACCTAGTCCCTAACATTCGGTAATATTCTCTCCGCTTCTAAGTATTTGTGACCATTCATAGTTTTTTATTTTATACAAAAAAGGTGATGTTTTTTTCACTTGTTATAAATTGTTGTTTCATCGAGTTGGCCAAACTTCTTAATATAGGATCACAGAGCTTGGGGAAATTGTTGGGACTGGAAAGCGCCGGCTCTGGTCGCCGTCCGGCTCGTCTGCGATGTCCCCCCCCACCTCACTGAACCTCCGCATTACAAAGTCTGCTACAGCAGCGTTGCGAGACGCCGCAGGAATGAACGACACTGACATTTGTAGGAATGCAACGTTAAGCGTCGCGTGCCATCACCGCCGTCCTTACCCGACGGGGTCGCGGCTTGCTGGTGCGCCGCTGTGGCCGTGAAGACAGATGCCTGGCTGGTGGTCTCTCCCTCACTCTCTTTCGCTCTCTCTCCCTCACTCTCTTTCTCTCTCTCTCCCTCACTCTCTCTCCCTGCCTTTCTCTCCCTCACTCCTCTCTCTCTCCCTCCCTGGCTCTCTAAAACTAAACTATTTTTTTTTGCCAGGTAAAGCCGCCAACTGAGAGATATAGCTCTTTTTTCCACGGAGCAGCCTGGCCACAAATGATAGCTCAACCAAGTGGCTTATCGCACGTTGATTCTGAACGTGGAGGGAAAATCCAAAGAGGGTGGTCCTTCCTGCCTGTCCGCATAGTGGATGTGTGCGGTGTGTGCTCCCCTCTCAGGCGAATAAGCTTCGCTCCAAGACGGTGAAGCACACGCTGAACCCCGAGTGGAACGAGCGCCTCACGTACCACGGCATCACGGACGAGGACATCTTGAAAAAAACCTTACAGTACGCACGCACGCACCAGCGCGCATCGTCACTCACAAATGACTGAAGATCCCCCCCCCCCCCGTGTAGCCTCTGGCAGACTGTTTGGGGGTCAAGTGCTGTTGAGCAGTGGAACTACAAAGGGGCAGCACATTATAATTGTATTGTGACACTCAGAAACACTTCATCTAGCAGTGGATAGACCAAGGGGGGGCTGTAATATAATTCCAATAATTTCGACACAAATGTTGATAACCTCTTTTCTTCCAATCGTAGTTCGTGGTCACTCCCCCCCCCCCACCCCTCCCTCGACACAACCGCCGACAAGAGGCGGTTATTCACCATCGCGGTTCGTTTTTCTTTTGTCTTCCCGATTCTCTGCGACCTTCCTGTGGCCAGGGTCTCGGTGTTCGACCAGGATCGGATCGGTCACAACGAGTTCATTGGCGAGACGCGCGTCGCCCTTCGCCGGCTCAGCCCCCAGCAGGCCAAGAGCTACAACGTGTGCCTGGAGAAGCGGCTGCCTGTGAGTGACGCCCCTCGCCGCTGCCTGACGCCTCCGGAGTTCGATCGCCGCTCTCCTCGTTCTTCCTTCACATTCGCCGGCGAGCCGTCACTTTAGACGCGTTTCGTTTTCAACGCGTCGGGCTCTTTGCGGCTAGCGTTACGATTCGTAATTGATTTTGTTGGAGGGGAGGGGAGGCTGGTGGTGGGGGGAGGGGTGGCCACGTAAAGTAATCTGGCCCAATTTACGTCGCTGAAAACCTTTAGAATCGGTACCTACCCAGACCTCTGAAAGTGCATCATTTCAATAGTATTGACTCGGATCAAGCAAAACTCTGGACCGGTTTTGTCCCCGTCTCCGTTTGAATCGATGCTGGTGAAATTGCCAGATGTTATAGGCAAGGACCCTCTGTTTAAGACATTGGCCTTAATTCGATTCGCACGGTTGGCTACGTACGGCGCTAATGAATTTCAAGATACGTACGTCCATAATGCATAATAATGGTGATATCATCTCCGTTGTATGACTGAGAATCTGACGCGTGTTGGAAAGCCGTCGCAGAATCCTTGCGCGCTCATTTCCCTTCCTCGTTTCCCCGCAGACGGAGCGGGAGGCGGGGGAGCGGGGAGCGCAGCGGGAGCGCGGCCGCGTGCTGCTCGCGCTGCTCTACAGCAGCCAGCGCGGCGGCCTCGTCGTGTCCGTGATGCGCTGCGCTCACCTCGCCTCCATGGACTCCAACGGCTACTCGGACCCCTTCGTCAAGATGTGAGCAACCCGCCCCGTCACCCCGTGTCGTCTCCCCGTGTCGTCTCTCCGTGTCTCCCACGCCCGCCTCCCCGTGTCTCTCCGTGTCTCCGCGTGTCTCCCACGCCCGCCTCCCAGTGTCTCTCCGTGTCTCCCACGCCCGCCTCCCCGTGTCTCTCCGTGTCTCCGCGTGTCTCCCACGCCTGCCTCCCCGTGTCTCTCCGTGTCTCCTACGCCCGCCTCCCCATGTCTCTCCGTGTCTCCGCGTGTCTCCCACGCCCGCCTCCCCATGTCTCTCCGTGTCTCCACGTGTCTCCCACGCCCGCCTCCCAGTGTCTCTCCGTGTCTCCACGTGTCTCCCACGCCCACCTCCCCGTGTCTCTCCGTGTCTCCCCGTGTCTCTCCGTGTCTCCCCGTGTCTCCCACGCCCGCCTCCCCGTGTCTCTCCGTGTCTCCGCGTGTCTCCCACGCCCGCCTCCCCGTGTCTCTCCGTGTCTCCGCGTGTCTCCCACGCCCGCCTCCCCGTGTCTGTGTCTCCCACGCCCGCCTACCAGTGTCTCTCCGTGTCTCCACGTGTCTCCCACGCCCGCCTCCCAGTGTCTCTCGGTGTCTCCCACGCCCGCCTCCCCGTCACCCCGTGTCGTCTCCCCGTGTCTCTCCGTGTCTCCATGTGTCTCCCACACCCACCCCATCACCCTGTGTCTCCTACCCCTAATGTGAGCTCTCACCCTGTCGCCGACTTTTCATCCCCGTGTCTCCCACACTCGCAACGTCTCCCAGTCACCTCGCTTCACCAGTCGTCATTTAAGGCGAAAGGTTTGCATGAACAGGGCCATTGCCTTAATGCCTCGGCAACTTGAGGCGCCTTACATCTCATCTCAACCGTACGCCAGTCTAGTCAAGAGGGGACTCCCATTGGCAGCTGTCCCTGTGCGGCACACGTTGTGCCCGCCGCTCCTCACGCGAGCCGCCCGCTTACACCCCGGTGTGACGCCCCCCCCCCCCCCCCCCCCCCCCGCGTGTTGTTCCGCGAGCAGACAGCTGAACCCCGACTCCGGGAAGAAGTTCAGATTCAAGACCGCGGTGAAAAAGAAGTGCCTCAACCCCGAGTTTAACGAGGTGAGGACCTCCCCAACAGGTTACGTAATCTCGCGCGTCTCACAAAACGAGGTCACGGGACGCGAGGTGCTGCTGCCTGGTCTCGAGCGGTGGACGAACGAAGCGGCCGTTCTCTGGCAACCACCAGGTGACCAGGTGACGGGTGCGCTGCTGCTGCTGCTGCCTGCCTGCCAGAGTTCTGAATGAACATCACCTCGTGACGCGATGGCGGCGATTGCGATGTCGCCTACAGATTCAGTCTGTGCACACAGAGTGCCGGGTAACTTGTATACAATACGGCACATGGCGCAACATGAAATGTGGAAATCTTGTCGACGGGTCACAGGACAGACCCAGGTGCCGTGGGTTGACCGACAGAGATGACTGTGCTCCCTACGGTGCCAGCTTGCCGTGCTTTAGCCGGCCCGCCGCTCCGCTCGTTGTTGCGAGCGTCACTCCTCTGCCCCTCCGTTGTTGCCGGAGGGCGACCGCCTCACCGACTGCCCAGTAGCGTCCTTCACGAGCCTTCCTCCTTCACATCGGGCAAATCTTGAGAGGCCACGAATAGAAACTCGTGCTATAAGAATCGTTTGTACCCTTTCTGGCAATAAAACATGTGTTAAGATGTTAAAACACGAAACAGAAACATTTAGAATCAACATGGGAATGAGGTTGTAGCTGCTCGTGATGGAGCTGCTCATGATGTAGCTACTCATCCCGAGCTCTCAATGTCCTGATAGTGCATTGTCCTTGTGCTGTTCGCCTTTTGGCGTCCTCTGGTCTAACACTGTTTGAGACGAGCCTCTAAAGCAAACAGTCTCTGGTGTGGACCAATCAGTTTCAAAGACAATACACATACTACCATAGCATGTGTTTTTTTGTTTGCATGTTCGCCACAAGTATATGTGGTTAATGCAGACATGATTCCTTGCAAAATGTTGTTAGGTGTTGTAATATCGTAAACACCCGTTTTAGTGCCAGAAAGGGTAAAACCTATTCTGATATTTTGATACTTGCAAGGGAGGTCCCGTGAAGAACGGCATGCGCTCACATGCCCCCTCCCGCTCCCAGGAGTAACCCTTCCCCGCCAACCTAACCCAAGCCCTTCCCGTAACCCACAGGAATTCTTCTTCGCCCTCCGGCAGAACGAGCTCGCCGGCAAGAGCCTGGAGGTCGCCGTGTGGGACTACGACCTCGGCAAGTCCAACGACTTCATCGGTGAGGGTCGGGAGAGACAGAAGGGAAGGGGGGAGCACGGCGGGTGTTTGGTGTTGGTCGGAGTGATGGCCCCGCTTGTGTTGTCACACAGGTAGCAGGTGGAAAATATCGAGCACGTTCATTCGCTCGCGAACTCCCTCGCCCGGTCCGCTCACTCACCAACTCAAGTTAATTCCTCATCCACTCCACCCACACCAACTCGTTCTACCCTCTCACTCATTCAACCCGTTCACATGAACCAACTCGCCTACTCCGCTCTCACTCATTCACCCCACCTAACACCAACTCACAAGCCCAACAACAACAGCCGCCATTCGCAACTAAGTGACGGTGACATCACCACGGCGCCTGTGCCAGGCCACGTAAAGTGTCGAAGTCTCGCTGGCAGACCCAGTTGCCGTTGGTTGACGAGCAGATGCACCGGCTGTGCCCTCTACAGTCCCAACTAGCTGAATTTTAACCACCCGGCACTCCACTCGTTTTTGTGACCGTCGCTCCTCTGCCCTCAGTTGTTGTTGGAGGGCTGGACTGCCTCCCGAATGCCCAGTAGCGTCCTTCACGAGCCTCGTCACGTGCCCGAGCACTCACCCACCCCGAACGCGGGCTGAGCTGATGTTCCGTTGCCACGGTTCCCCCTCCCACCGCAGGCTCCGTGGAGCTGGGAGCGAAGGCATCGGGAGAAGCGCTCAAGCACTGGTACGAGTGCCTCAAGTACCCGGACAAGCGGGTGGAGCGCTGGCACATGCTGGGTGACGCGGCACCCTCCAAGCACTAGCACGTCGGGCAGCCACCCCCGCTCTTCAGAGCCAGAATTCGGCTTCCTTGAAGCTGCCGCCAACGCTTGGAAAATGTCGGCGGTGCAAGCACACGGGGGCTTCATTTCTCGCCGGATATTTTCCGGGTGACCGTTATAAGATTGCAGTCGTTGTCACGTGGTTACTAGTTGGCCAAAGTCATAACAAGAGGTACACTGGATGTGGTGTGCCAGGTGCGAAAATATTTTACAGGTCACCGACCCGAGACCGACGCAGTTCAGATTAAACCTCCGATTGAGATTCAGCACTTATGAATGCGTTGGGGGGGGGGGGGGTGCAGAGATTTGTGGAACTCCCAAACCCGCCCATGTCTCTCGAGTATTCTGCATATGTTAATGATATTTTCTTATTATAGACTGACAAATTCTCCAACGTGACTTTCAACCAACACCACCATCTCATGACTAATAACCATAACCACTACATCACAACCCACCGGGGCAGTCAGGAGCAACCAGCTCCACATCCCGATTCATGAACAGATTAAAATATCGGCAACCCTTCGTTGCTGTGGGGTAAATTACAGACACCCCTACACAGTGACAAAATTCATGACTGTGCCACCACCCACCCACCCAAAGGACCTGCTGGTTTAAATTGCGCCCAGAGGTTTGTAGTTTCCTTCTTGCCACGTGGCAAGGGAACCACACACAGGGCTTGACCACAACCGTATTGTTATGCACAATGCAGTACCGCAATCTTTCTATAAAGTTTTCGCAGCCAATATATGCGACATTTACAATTTTGCAGCACGGGTGGGTGCATGTTATACCATCATTTGTAACCGTTTGATCCACAATAAAGCTTAGTTTGAAACATGCGTTTCCTATGTCCAGTGTTGGTGTTGTGGTCTTGTGACCTTCACGACCCCCATGACATGGGGAGGTCTTCATCCAGCAGTGGATTGGAAAAGGGACGTACGTGGAAGGGTTTACCATCGGGGCAGCTTGACATGACATTTACATCCTGCAAGGTTAGGATGCTGTTGTGACCAGACACCAACACCAGCCACTTTACGGTGTTCAAATAATATCCATGCTCCCCACCTTCACGGAACAGCATGATGAAGTATGAACTAAGTGATCAATGTTTATTCATACTCGAGGAATCCAATGAGCTCCACCTCTTTCTCAGATGTCCAGTATGCTCCACAGGGGAGAGGGGTGGAGGCCCTCATCCAACAGTAGATTCACTTGACTAAACTAAAGTTTTTAATTTACCAGGTTAAGACACACTAAAGCTATGTAGCTATTAGAAGCAACCTGGCCACAAATGAGAGCTCAACGAAGTGGCTTATCGTGTGGAAATGTATAGCAGCCAAATACTCCAAACACATGTTTTTAAATGGAGTGAAAACACGAAGGACTGGGAGAAAAACCCACATGACCACGGAGAGAACATGCAAACTCTAGATATACAGCAGGCATCGGGGGTCGGGATTAAACCCACGACCTCCTGTATACCAGGCGAGGTTGGTAACATCTCACCATTGTGGCACCCGTGAAAGGGCTGTACCTGTACAGTAAAACCTTGGATTGCGAGCATAATTCGTTCCAGAAACGTGTTTGTAATCCAAAGGACTCGTATATCAGTTGTGATCACGTGACGCTCGGCAAGACTTCGCTCGTTTACCAAATTAATATTTATTTAAAAAATTTGCTCGTCTTGCAAAACGCTCGCAGACAAAGTTACTCGCAATCCAAGGTTTTACTTTATATCCATAAAACAAGGAGCCCATTACCAAGGGAGACCTTGGGCAGGGGGGGTGGGTGGGGAGGTCGTGGTGGAAATGCAAGAGTGCTTTGCGATGGCACCTCAGGGTCCTTCACAATAAACCCACACATGGGTGTGTGAAGATCACTTTGAAAAGGACTCCCAACCTGCCAGCATTCACACAGACCTGCGGCGTGCATATCAATATAGTTTATTCAAAATTCTATAGATTATGAATATATTATACCTTCAAACATTACACAAGATTTCAAAATATTGCAGAAACCTTTTTTTAAAAAAAAAAGTCGTAACTGGCAAAGTTTGAGTTTACAATACATTTTATGGAGACACGCTACAGGTGATGACAGAGCCTCCCGCCATCGGCGAAGACGTTCAACACGCGCCATGCACAAAAGCACAGACAGGATTACCTTCAATCCCGATAGCGAGACACACTATCCATTCATTAAAACAACCGTTAGACTGGTTGAATTTGTAAACAAGTACAGACTAAATTGGTGCTTCCGATGATTAACCATATTTTAGAGATGCATGCATCTTCCGAGAGGGGGGCGGCAGGGGGGAGGTGTTAGTTTTTTTTACGCCAGATATGTAACTCATTCTTGTTGCCCCCCCCACCACCATCCACCCCAACCCACACCCCTCCCCCCCCAATCCACCGTTGACACCAGGTTCACCAGCATACATTCTTAAATGAGAAATTAAAAAAAAACACATTTTTTAATAGCACTAAAATTAAAAAGACTTTTAATAAATTTGACGATCAACAACGTTAGCACAGAAGACAAGTTCAGTGTTCAAAATAATGTCATTCGGTGTTATCTTGTCTGGGTGTTAAAACGACCACGATTTTGAACACGTGCCAAGCGTCTTGCGCATCCTCAGAGCGAGCGCGCCTGCCGCGGATACATTACTCCTGCCCGACACGACGCGACCAACGACAGAACCCGCAAGGCAAGCAAATTAACAAAGGCAAAAAATAACTACTTTTTTTTTTATTCAGAAAGGAGAATGATCAAATGCAAACAACTGCGCAACATTCGCTAACGAAAAAAAATATAACCAGTTCAACAGATTTCATAATTTATACCGTCGACTTCAGTCCCATACCTGCCAAATGTCAATTTAACAATGGAACAAAATCTCAGAGGTTCTGGTCAGGAACAAGAAACAAATAAACGAGTGGTGGTGGTGAATTCTGCAATCCTGCACACACCGCATTCCTTTTTCCAATCCTTTCTTTAACATCCCTCGCCATCTCTACCACACCCCCCCCACCAACCCCCCACTACCCAACCCCGCACTCCGCCATTTAGACGCCCCCATCAGCAGCAGCAGCAGCTCTACTTGACGCCGGCGGTGGCCAGCCACTTGCCATTGCAACAGCGCTGATCGCAGGGCCCGTTGTGCGCGTTGCAGTACTGGTTGAAGCGCTCCTGCAGCTGCTGCCGGTACTGGTCGCGCTGCACGTAGAAGGCGCGGTGGCTCGCCTTGAACGAGCGGATCTCGTCTGGCGAGATGAACGATTCCGCGTCCGGGAAACAGTCGTCACTGTCATCCTGCGATGGTAACAGTGGTGGTGGCATTGATGATGGTGGTGACAATGGTAACAATGGTAGTAATGGCGATGATGATGGCGACAGCAGTGGTGGTGTTTTGTGGTGATGGTAGAGGTGGCGGAAGTGGCAGATTGAAGGTAGGAAGAGGAGAAAAGAGAACATTTGGGTTAATCACACTGTGCAAGCAGATTCTGTTACTATTCAGACATTACCCTGCAAGTCCCTGAATGGGACAAATATCATGTGAACCGACTGCACTTGTGAAAAAATTTACCCGTAAAAACAAAGTTTTTCACTATAAATCCTTTATATGCGTGGCATCGGTTTTATTTTATTATTCATTTCTGTTTTTCTTGAGTAAGAGTTTCATTTTTATCACATTGGTATTTTAAATTAAATATGAAATATTTTTTTTCCTAAAAAGTGGAAAATTTTGGAAAAAATTTTCACGAAAATAAATTGTCACGCACAACGAGTCTGTGTGCAAAATGTCAGCTCGATTGGATCACGGGAAGTGGGTTAAAAAACGACCGAAAGATTTGCACGGTCGTAAACGCGCAAGCAAGCAAGTGAACTTAATATAAAGGATTTAAAAAGAGCTTCATAGCTCATCGGATTTCTCCAGGATAAATACAGATTCTGATTAAGCTGGAATGACCCCAAGTGCATGATGAACTGTATAGTCAGGTGGTTGGATCAGCGATGCTTTTAACGTGGGGCTTTGGGTCAACGTGAATGTCAGAAGCGATGACGTGGAGGGGGATCACGCGCGCAAACCCGTAAAACCTGAAATTCAAAAACCCTCCTCGGACCTCAATGAATTTACGCTGAGTAATAACTTAGGTCGGCAGTGACCAGAATGCTCAAGCAAGCATGCAGCAGTGCCCATATGTTTACAATCAGTGGGTGAAAAGTCTACATTCCTATGCAAAAGGCAATTGCAGAAGGCGTCCGCAAAAGACACGTACTTAGACGGGAGTTGACAGCTTCATCGGGAACAAGCTCTTATTTTATTTAAAAACCAGCGCCAAGGGAATGTGTCCGCATTTTTTAACCGCATATCTGGAAAGCTACCGAGACACGACTACAGCTGGGACATCCGATTATCGGTTCGATTACTCTCGGCTAATCGTACGGCACGAAAATAAGCCGTGGGTGGGGAACAAAAAAGGTCTCGCCTCTTCCCACGTGCGCCGCTGGACGGGAGATGAAGATGGGCAGCGCTTGGTGACGTCATCTGCATCATCAGCCGCGTCACGCTGGTTCGGAAGGCGGGATGGGACGTGGGAGGGGGTGGGGGGGGTGGGTAGGGGTGGGAGGGGCAGCCGCCAATTTTTTAAAGGGGTCCCTCCGAGTAATCGACCACAGTCAAAGTAGTCTATTACAATGCTGTCGAGTAATCGACCTTCTCGACTAATCGTCCCAGCTCTAAGTAGAACATTGAACGTGCAACAAGATGCTATCTTTATTATTATGGAGTTATTTGGGGTGAGATCGCGTAAATGTAAGTGTATCGTTAAACCCACCTCCACCCAAACGCAGCCGATCGGTAAAGCTTTGTCACACGTTGTGAACAAAGTGTGCCAATTAGTTACTACTTCGGCATGTTTACGGCACATTTACATTCACGCGATCAAACCCAAAAAAAAGTTACTGTCAATAATAATGGTCGCGAGAGATGCCCAAGTGTTAAACTAGGATATATTTTAACAATTAAATGCGAGTTAACTCTCGATTATCCGTGCGCGGATTATCTGAGAAGTCGACTGAACGTGCTTTCTGAAAAACCATCGCTACGCGCACGCCACTTTGTCTGCTGCTTCAAAACTTGCGACTCGCCACCCACATCGCCACTAAACATGTTGGCAGGTAAACACGATTGCTTACAGCGGTCAACAAAAACAAACGACACAATGAATACGTGTTTATAGCCTAACTTACATGTTTTACCATCATCCATTATTTTATTTTATCTGGCCCACCCCAGTCCTCCCATTATCCCTGACAATTTAAAGTTGATTGTTCAGTGAGAAATGAAAATGCGAAAGCTGTGTATGTGGGTTGTGGGGGGGGGGGGGAGGGGTCTGCTGAGAAGGGGTACCAGCATGTCAGCGAGGCTCCGGGCAGGGTCCTGCTTCTCCTCGCCGCCTGTTGGCTGCTTACCCCCACGCTTCTGCCCGCCCTTCTTCAACTGCTGCTGCTGCTGCTGCTGAACCTTCTGCTGTTGCAGCCCGTGTTCCCTGCTGTGCCACCCTTTGATCGTTTGCTTTCTGCACGCCGTTAGATTTTTGTACTGCTGCCTGTTTGCCGTCCTGCTGCTTCTGAAGCGGCTGTTTGGCGTCCTGTTGCTTCTGAGACGCCTGTTTGACATCAGGTTGTTTGTGAGCCGGCTGTTTGATTTCTTGCTTTTGAGCCGGCTGTTTTCCATCCGGCTGTTTCTGAGGCGGCTGTTTGACTTCCTGCTGCTTCGGAGCCGCCTGTTTCCCATCCGGCTGTTTCTGAGCCGCCTGTTTCCCATCCGGAGGCC